ATCTATCTCTCCTACCAAAATCTCTCTCTAAAGACAATCTAAATATATGACCCTACCACTACCTTGAGCAGTTCTCTATCGACCGTGGTTAAGCATAAAACAAAGTTACCAACCAGCCAATCACAGTGGCTGCAAACAAAGTCGCAAACCAATCAGAACGCAAAGTGGAATCTCCGTCGCCGGTGTCAAACGCGGGAAAAGTCACGTGATTGGTTTCGGTTCTGGCCCAGTCATTACTAAGCTCAGTAAACAAATGCAAACAAAACTTCAACAAAAAGCAGCCATTTTGAGAAACCGCTAAGTAAAACTGAAAAACTGCTCTGCTTACCTCTCATAATCGCTCTAATGTCCTTCATAGAGCCTCCATGTTGATTTAACAGAGTAACCACCCGTTGTTTTATCTATAAAGATGACAGTTGTTCATTACGCAAACAAGGAAACAGACTTGAAACATTGACCAATAAATTTCAGTTTCTAATTTCAGTGCAAAGGCTCAAATAGAAAACCCCAAGGAAGTAAGAATACTGCACACCGGTCAATTTAAACTTGCATGCAAAGCTAGTCCCTCACAAGTTTCCTCACTGGGAGACCGACAAACTGTTAAAGAATTTGTCATTGTCCTTTCTTAAGCAACGTGAAAAGAGGCATTGCAAAAGTTACGTTCACTAGGTCCAAGAACACAACGCGAGGACTAACCAGACTGTAAGGGTTTCAAATGACTTTCCGATGGAAGGAAATTCCAAAGTTAATATTTCTTGCCGAGATATTAAGACACCGAAAAGGAAATAATTTTCATGTCTTTACCTCTTTCTCTGCAGTCCAAATTTAAGATTTTTCATATTTCACTGTATTCTTCACCACCTACGGGTATATTACGAACTATGTGTCCAGCTCCCAGTTGGCTTCATAGCTCAATGGGTAGAGCCTGACTACACTGTAACGTAATGCTGTCACGCACTCCAGTATTTCTACACGAGACCTGATCACGTACTTTGAGCAATGTACTTTCTCGCTCCATGTGCTCCGCCATTAAAAGTAGTTGTTGAGTTTTCTATGAGTTTTCTACTGTTTATTGTCTTTATTTTTGTCTCTACCGAACCACGAAACATAAACCGTATCGCAGAGGTCATGAGTTCGAATCCCGTTCAAGACTGATTTTTTTTCTTCAGGCGTTATTTTAACTGTGATGATCATGCATGTCTTTACATATTTCTCCGCGGTTCAAATTTCATATCTTTCATATATTTACTATAAAGAGCGATAATGTTAACCTAAAAGTGACAATTGGGGGCCATGGTACCACCGTCTGTGTTTAGAAGATCTGTTCCAGTTCCCCCCCTTTTCTCCCTCAGTTATGAATTGTTGTGGAGGCGCGGTGGCCTCATGGTTAGTGCGCTCGACTCCGGATCGAGCGGTCCGGGTTCGAGCCCTGGCCGGGGACATTGTGTTGTGTTCTTGGGCAAAACACTTCACTCTCACAGTGCCTCTCTCCACCCAGGTGTATAAATAGGCACCGGCGAACTTAATGCTGGGGGTAACCCTGCGAGGGACTAGCATCCCATCCGGGGGGAGTAGAAATACTCCTAGTCGCTTCATGCTACAGAAACAGGAATAAGCTCCGGCCTGATGGACTACTTCCCTCGAATGCAGACTTAACCTTACCATGAACTATAAAGGAACAAAAGGAACAAAATATATCAGTGATTGTGTTCTTTACCGAAGTCACACCAGAGCAACAAACTTCCATGATGATACAGTCTATGAGCTGAAGAGTGAACAGACCAGCGTCCAGTCTCCGCATGTAAAACTCGTCCTCTAACGCCTCGTCCATCTCCTCACCTTCATCTAAGAGTTCCTATTAAGATTACACAAACAACAAAAAAATTAGAATCAAATGCTTTTTGAAAAGACATCACACATGCATCAAGGCACGGTTGTTCGAAAGCCGCTTTACGCTAAACCAGCTGCAGGGGCCCGTTTCTCGAAGGTCCGGAAAGGTTTTCACATCTGGAAAGCCGTAGCAAAATCTCCAACCTTTTGATTACAGAGCTGTTTTATTCACACGTTCTTAATATGAACAGAAGTTCTCTTCATACTAGACGTTTCAGGCGTATACACCTCTCTGTTTTTAGATGCAGATTAATTAAAAATGGCGTTGCGGACCCAAAAAGTTTCAGGGGCTTTCTAGAAACGGCCCCCGGGATTAAATGTTAATCAAAGTATTAATTTTTCTTGTAAAAAATTGTGTTTCGCCGCTTATGTTTTGTGTAGTTTGAGATTATTCAAACTCAAAAATGAAGGACCTACAATATAAACAAAAAACCTCACCGAAAAGTTACAAAGCTGAAATCAGAATTCTCGCTAATCCTGGGTCACCTTAAACGGGCTTTGAACAACCCATCTCAGCAGAAGTTGTTAGAGATAATAGAACCTGCTGTTTAGCTGATAAAACCCAACATCCTACCTGTTTTTCTTTCTCTATCTTGGCATCACAGTCTTGTATTTTGTTGTGGTACTTGATGTGAAGTTCCATTAACCTGTCCACTTTAAGGTGATCATTTTCAACAAACTTCTGCACAAGACGAGTTCTCAAGTTCCCGGATAAGTTTCTGAACAGCCACATGATTATTGAACAGGT